GAAACGGGAAAAACCCAAATTGGCTATTGTCGTAGTTAACCCTCTTCTTAAGATGCTCTATATCGACGAACTTAGTACTGCACACTGTACGTGTGCCCTCATTGAAGGTATTTCACATTATTTTACGGTATTTCACATTATTTTCAGCACAAGGACCAAATCGAAGTTCATATCGAACACTTACGAAAGGTCCTGACGACCCTTAGAGGCAAGCAAGTCCTTATCTGAGTGGATGCGAACGCCCAATATCCTTTGTGGTCACTACACTTCGTTACTAAAGAGGAAAAGCTTGCAAAATTCTTTACCGAATTCGGTCTGGAAGTTTTCAACAAAATCGAAGGTCTCACATACAGTTCCTCAAGAGGAAACGTAAACGTGACCGTAGCAACTCAGGGACTGTCACAGCAAATGGTTGATCGAAAGCGAGTGGGTTTAGGGATCAGATCATTTGGCTATCGGAATCCAGCTTGGTCAAAGTGGAGTGCAGGGTGAAACTTACACAGAGGCAACTTGAAGGTTCAATGTCAAAGCAGCTGATTGGGAAGCTTTCGGTAAGTTTATACCCGAGCTAGAGAACACACTTTCCGCTGGACCATTGCTTTAGAAAGGCACGAGCATACACGCATCTAGCCCACCACAAGGATTGGTGCATTAGTGCAATCCTTGGTAGAATAACCATCTGTCCCGCCTGAAGCGCAGTGTATATAGACTGCGCCATTGATTCCAACGTACCAAAAAGCTTGGTCCAGATACTCACCGAATTACGACAGCGAGACTTCGATACCGCCAGCAGGTAAGAAAGTACTTCCAAGCAATAAAAAGAGCGAAAACAAAGAGATGGAAAGATTTTGTCACAACTCACGGGAACGAGGAGAAATGAGGTGTGGTATACAAGCTTGTGGCCGACAAGATTCGAGCCGAAAAAGTTATGAATGCGCTTCGCACTAAAGAGGGTGGTAGAACCCTGGATTTTAAGGAAACAGCCGAGCAATTGCTGGAAGTACATGTGGTTGGTAAGGTAACACCTTTTAAATTATTTCAAGGAAATTCGAAAAAGTATTTTCTCACACAATTCATCGAATGTAAAGAAAAAAAAGACTAAATTTTATAGAAGATATAGCACTTTATTTGATTTTGAACTTTTTTGGTGTTTCAAAATTTTTTAAAATAATTATTCAAAAATGAGAATTAGGTTATTTGCAGAGTCATTTAGGACGTATACATGACGCAAAGTTTTACTTCCATCCGATGATGGCAGTTTTAGTAGGATACTTCAAACACTTGAAGAAAAATTCTGAATAAGATTTATGTTATCGAATGTTATTAATATTTTGATCAAACATTCGATCTACAATTTTTTACGCACACTCATGTGATTTGTTTATTAAACAATTGATAAAAACAATTTTATGGTTTTGCGATTATGGCAAGTCAAATTCGGCACAATGTTATGATTTCAAACATTTTTTGCATGTAGAACAATTTGAAAATCGGATTTTCAAACAACAGTGACGTGGCGCAATTTTTTTTAAAGATATCGGAAAAAATGATTATGAAATTTGTAAATTCCTTGGTGCCCTCAGGATCCCTTTTTGTAGTGCATCCCTGTAAATTATTATTTTTCGAACGATTTTTCGACAACTCTTTTTACATACCTGCAATGTTTAGTCGCCATCAGATCAGCCGCTTCAGAGATTACTGTGAACAGACAGACAGACACTCAAAATTTATTTATCAGTACACATCTAAAATAATAATTTGTTGAAAAGAAATTTATTTGTATAAAAATTATATAGATTATTCACATCAGTTTGTTTGTCTTTTTCATTGTTTAAAAATAGTCTGATGGCAGCGTTTTTATCATTTTTTTTGGCATTTGTTGATGAATTTGATCAAAATGTTTAATTGTTTCTTTTTACTTTCAATTTTTTGTGGTTTTTTCGTCAGTTGAAGGTATCTATTTGATATTAGCAGCGTATCTTCTGTATAACATGGTGATTATTATTAAGATTAACACGTTTCCAATTTTTTTTTTTTTTATATCGCTTTATAACGAAATTCAAAGGAAAGTAATAACTTCGTATGTATTATTGAAAGATTAAAGAAGTTCGATTTTCATCGTAAGATCTAATTTCTGGTCGGACTCGTATATATTGTGTTAATCCCCTTTTGTTAATTGTTTATAACAAATTCAATTGTTACAACCAATTCGCATAAACAAAAAGTAACCTATATTCCTTTTGACGTCCTCTTTTTTATATCTGCAGAGTTTAATTGAAATCGGTCCAGCCGTTGTTAAGAGTACCCCAAACAGACATACAGATAAAAATTGTAAAAATGGTTATTTACGTTTTTACAGTACGCAAATAACTCTCTGAGCTTAATTTGATGCAGTTTCCTAAAAATTACTACGAAGCCAAACTTATCATCATTCCAGAACATTGAGCATATGCCTCGAAAATGAGAATAGGCCATGTCCGTATTTACACGATGATCGTAAATGTGTTTTAGATTCACGTTACGGTGCTTGTTATGCACAAGAAAGTTTTTATCAGAAACTGATAAAAGCAGTCAATTTCCATATTTTATCTAATAGAAAAATAAGCGATACTTTTATCTGATTTTAGCTTTTCCTCATTCTCATTATGACAGACACTATTTAGTGAAAGTTGTCCGTAAAGTTTGATCCTTATCTCTTGTAATAAGTCACAGTTTATTACAGGTAAATGAATGTCCTGTTGATTGAACTCCATTCCGATTATAAATGACATTTTAGCAATAAATTCATATTTTTATAGATTTAGGGTTAATCGATTTCAAACAATGATAGTACAAAGACGTATATTTATAATAGCGAAGAAAAGACCTAGTAATATCACCCTTGTAGATTCTATTAAGCTCGGTGATATGTTCCTGGTAGTTTGCATCAGTCTTCTTGGTGGCACCCACTCGAGAAATCCTCAGATTGACTCTTCGGTCAATTTGGTCTTCGTGGTGTCTCTCTGTCGATTCGGAAATGTCACTAGAATTGACTGCTTTTTGTACATGGTCACGTCGCCGCATCTCTGAAGAAGTCGACTCTCCTTGAAGCAAGGAAAAACTATTTAGCCTGAAGGTTACAACACGCAAGGACTTCGAGTTTAACTTAATGTGTACTACAAAAGAAGTAATGTGCAGTGATCTATTTCTATGTATATATTGTAAAATATAGGATGAAGACAACAAATGTTAAAAAGAAAGTTTAGTCAAAATGATAGATTGCATACAGGATCGCACCATAACGTCTAATCTGTCCTAGTCTCAGTTTTAAACACCTATGAACAAACCAGTCGTACGTTGCTATTAACAAATTTTTTCGATTTTCAATCCTACTATAGATAGATACATATATATTTTACAATATTGTGACTAAACTTATGTTGGCTTACTTATTTTACTAAACAAGTTTGGGCGTGTTGATTCCTGTCCAGCTTTCGCGTGGAGAACAAAAAATACATAATTTACTACTGCAAATTGTTAATCAAGACAGTCAATTAGTTAATTTACGAGGTAAAACTGTAACACATGGCTTATATTTAAAATCAGTTACATGAAAGGAACTGCATATAAACCATTACGAGGAGAGGGGAGGGTATTTCAAAAATTAACATATTATGACTAAATTGTTAAGTTACATTAGAATTATTTAAGTATCTGATACGGTCAGTCACAACGAACCATGTGTGGGTCGTAAAAAGGTCAACTGAATTGAAAAAGTTCTGCCATGTTATTTTTGGGTTCCGAACTGCACGCAAAAATGATGCTTAAGGAGATGTAAGTCGTTTCAACATAAATCTTAACATCACTCACAATCAACTCGCCTTCTTATATGATAAATATAGATATTCTCAAACATAACACCATGATAAAGAAGTAGAATTTCTACTCACGAAGAGAGAATTTAAATATATATCATTAGTAATTGTAATTGAAAGTTCTAAACAAAACGAACATTTAATCGTATGATAAAAAATTTTTATATTGTATTATTATCTATAACAATGTTTAGTCAAAGAATACTTGATTCAGTGAATAGATTAATATAGTGATTACACAAAAACTATATTTGTTCATTGCTCTAATTAACAATCTAATAATTATTGAAATAACATACAATGAAAAGAACGTTAATAACAGAAAAGAAGGCATGTAGTAACACTCGAAAGCTTGACGATTGAATAACTAGAGCGTTCAGTAATAGTATATTTCACACCTAGGGAGGAAAAGTAGACTAGCTCAAACCACGTGTAAAATTACAACCCGAGCCGAAGGCGAGGGGGGTAAACACGTGGTTTAAGCTTGTCTAATTGTCCTCCTTAGGGCTGAATATAATTTTTCGTCATACCTGAGTGGAAAGTTCAACCCCTCTCCAATGGAAAAGTGAACTTTCCGCGCAGGCATGACGAAAAGAATCTTACATACATTTACTTTGGGACAAATCCTTGTTTCCCTGTCCTGAAAAGGACATTTTATTTGAGTACCACGCTTTATAGGGCATAACTCTGGGAATGGCTCTACTTCTAGTGACGGCGTTACATGGGATGTAATATTATCGCGTCTTTAGGAAGGCACGAGGATACACGCACTTAGCTCAAGGCCTTGCAACATACCACTACGACTTCAACCTCAATTGACTGAAAGCACCCGGCTCTCTGCATGCCGTTTTTCGACTTTGCAGCCCCGGATGCCGGCTTGGATTTCGGTCTCCGCTAGTACCAGTTTTATCCACTTCAGTCGGCGGCTTTTACTTCGGGACATAAGAGTCGTGAACAGACTCATTAAAAGCATAACAAAATATTTTGATAATCACTAAAAGCCATCGATGATGATGAGATGAGTCAGCGATTCAGTTCTTGATCGTGATTTGTCGATAATAAGATCGCTAAAATCATCCGATATATATGTATAATACACTCCTTACATACAAATATAACATTTATAAATCTTTCTCTCTATTTTAGATTACACTGGTCAATCTGACGATACATCTGAAGCTTCAACAATTTTAGCTTCTGATCCATGCATTCTTCTGGAATCTAATGAAACTAAAACGGCCCTAGAGCTTGAATCTACTGTAAGATCATATTTGCATGATTTATCAACAACAAAGGATACACATTCAACTCCTCATTATTCCCTGCTTCCATTATCTGAGGCTTCAGGAGTTGAGCGATCACCTTCCGCATTAAGTGAAACTTCAAGAAGTAGTGTTGACATGGTGGTAAGTGTATGTAAATGGTAATAGAGAATGAATTATGTTTGTACATGGAATTTTACGTGATTGTCATAAATTTGTCGAACGGCGTGGAATATTTGGGGTTCTAGATTATTAATGTAAGAACTTGAACTATTTTGACAAGACAATCAGTAGAAAATGTTTCTAATTCGGAATTTATGGATTTATCTTAATTTACTTTGTATTAACATGTCGATAGGATAGGGAAAGGGAAGATGAAATTTCAGATTAGTCCTAAAAATGGAAGGTTTTACCAACTTTTTTACCTTACTTACCTTATTTAGAGAAGAACCTCCTTTTCTCAACACTTTACACCAGGTAGCTCTCCATGTATTCCAATTGATCTGCAGGAACTTCTCTAGATTCCTTAGAAATATATCCAAACAATCAGACTTTTATAAATTAATATTCCGATAAATAGGAGACTATTGGTAGGCGGAACCTGTACTAATCTTAACAGAGCTAAAGATTCTCAAGGACAGAACACTTACCTCTTCCTTAACAGTTTTTTAACCTTTATATCAAAAATTTATAAATCTACTGCCGAAAGATAATCGATTCATAAATATGATTTACAATGTGAACAACTAGATAGCCGCACTCACCTATTCTCGGAAAGAGTTCAAATATATTGAATGGATTTTAATTTCGATTTTTTATGACAAATGAAATTGTTATAAACAATCTACATGAACTAAAAGTAGCCTATATTTACTCACAATGCCCTCTACAAAAAATGAGGGCATTTTACCCCTTTGCAAAATTTGGTCGCAATCAGATTAACGATTCCGAAGATTATCCCGAACATACAGAAAGACAGACACCAAAAATTTATATTCATAGTAGTATAGATAGATAGATATAATAGATAAACAATATTTACGATTATGATAATATTCTCGATTAAAAACAGAAGTTGTTGATCAATGAAATAAGTGACAAGCAAAAGAGAAACACTGTTCTTTTTAGGTCAAGCATACTTTCAGAAATGAATTATCATGATTTTTTCTTGTATGTTTAATGTTAAGTGTTATGTATAATTATAAATTTTCTTCAGAATTTTTCTTCGTGTATGGAGTATACCAAACAATCTCGGCGTGGCAATGAAAACAAATGCGATCATAGTTAATTAAAAGTACTTTTCAGACTGTGTGAGATGCTGCTTTTTAGAACCAACTGTTTGATACGAGTAAAACATTTTGAAAATATCTGACGTTCAAACAATGGTGACTTGGTGCCGTTTTTTTACAGATATCGAACGATATCGGTTTTTGGAAGTTTCCCCTTCCTTTTTTAATAAGTTTTCGTATTAGATTATATATAGATTTAAAAAGAAATAAAAAACCTAGGATATCGCAGAATTGAGGAGGTAACTTTATTTGGAAAGAACATCAATAGATAATGATAAATATTTCTTCAAAATATATGTTTTTTATCGGTAACTTTAGGTCAATTCAAGAACGCATTTACAGTGAAGGAACTAAAATTTTTGGTGATGATCTCGAGTTTTATTATTTATTATAAATTCTATTAGTATTAAGTCTAGACGTTTGTCAACATTCATTTCTCATCTTTAGCAACAATTACAATAAGACAAGTTGATGTAAGATAATCAATCGAAGTCGAAGTGATACCAATATTTCTACTGGGGTAAGGAAATTAAGTTTACACAAAAGGTATAGGATGTATTGTTTTCTTTTCACAATCGATGCTACGATACTAGCTCATTTCCGCGAAATCAGCGCGTAGGTGCTGTTTGACTAATGTGAACCGAATGAACCAAAAAAATCAATGAACAAAAATTTAAAACTATTTTCATCAGCTCATTAAAAAAATCCCTTATTCATTAAAGACAGCCAATGTGAAAATATTACGTTATACAGAAATCGATTGATTGAGTAAAGTCCTAAATAATAATTTTGTCGTTCAAGTGACCCAATACCAGGTACGTAATACTTGGTGATAAAACAAAAATAAAATACAATTGTGATGAGAACATATTCGACTATAATTAATTACACTTTTATCAGTTATACAATAAATTCCCTGTTAACGCTTAAATAGGGTTTTTTAAATTAATGTTTGTAACAAATTCAATTCTTGTAACCTTTCCTCTTTTTAAATTAGTTATAAATAAATGTTATTATTCAGTATCTTATTGGTGTGAGTAGGTGTAAGAATATAGTATCAAGGTCAAATCTAAGAATGAATCATTCTCAACATTTGCAATAATAAACTAACGATATCATTTATACATACATGTGAAAAAATTTATTAGAGTTGAACAAATTAATTTCATTGCAATTTAATAAGCTTCATTAATTTGAAAGCTTTATTAGATTGAAAAAATCTAATATGGAGGCAACTCCACCTGATAAAGGTGGAAGAGTTTTCAAATGTCACCCTAATCTCAAAGTCCCAAATATCGTGGTTTGTTTAATATGTGAAAGTGTTTTTCATGCTGGTGATTTTAATAAATATTCTAAAGGTCATTATGTTAGTGATATGCTTATGATTTGTCCAAAACACCATGAAGACAATCTAACCTCCAAGCAAGATTTCACTGGTTGTGTTCTAGATGAAGAAGCAAGGAAAATAATTGCACAAGTTAAACTTTTTGAAAAGGAAGAAGCAAAAAATCTTTTATATAATAGTCTCTCGACAAGTAGAGATATCTCGCTGGATGAAGTTACAGCTGATGACAATACTGCACTGAAGATGGAAAATGAGCTACTGAAACAATTCAATGCTGAACTAAAGGATAAAAATAATTTGTTAAAAGATTGGCTAGATGCTAACAATAATATGCTTGATGAGAAAAAGATGATTAATTCATATGCTAACACTGTAAAATTGAACCAAGTTAATACATGTGAAAGCAACGTTCCTTGTATTATTGTGAAAGCAAAAGTTGATAACCTCAATGCTATGGAAAATGTCAAATTAAAACTAACACATGATTCTGCTATATCTATCAAAAGAGTTAAGTCAACTAAAGATGGGACTGTATTAGTAAGCTGTAAAAACAAAGAGGATGTGAATAGGACCAAAGACAATTTGCATGATAAACTAGGTTCTAATTTCAATGTTACTCTTGAAAGTAAAAGTCTACCAAAAGTGAAAATTGTAGACATTAACAATGATTTATCTAAAGAAGACTTATGTGATGATACATATAATAGAAACTTTCTAGAATTTGATGGAGGTTTTAATGTTGTGGCAGATTATAAAAATCATCTGAATAAGCGAACGTTAATTCTTGAAGTTACCTCAGAATCTTACTTGTATATAAGGAATAATGGATATAAAATATATGTGGGACACCAATGTTGTGCTGTATATGATGAATTTAACCTTAATTTATGTTTTAAATGTGGCAGAACAAACCATAGCCAGAAAAAATGCTCTAATGATACAAAATGTCTGTATTGTTCTGAGGACCATGACACTGGGTGCTGCAAAAGTGAGATTAAACAATGTGTAAATTGTACCTTCTATAATGCTCGCTACAATAAGAATAGAGCTGCTGATCATGATGCAACAGATGTTAGTAAATGGGAATACCTTAAATTTAAGTTAAATAAGATAATTAACACCACTGATTATCCAGCTTTACCTATGTTGCCAGATAAAATTGGGAGAATAAATCGTAAATGAGTAGCTCATCCTATAAATAGTAAACATAACCTCAATGGAGTTCGAAGACACATCAACGTATCTGATTGAAGAACATGTTGATAAGATTGATTCTTTGAACCTACATCTTGACCAAGATGACTTGATCCTTGTCCACCTCAATGTCAGATCTTTAAATGCCAATTTTGAACGCTTGGAACTCTTTGTTGATAGACTTTATGTCAAGCCTGATGTTGTAATTTGCACAGAAACTTGGATATTGTTATGCCCTGATTTTTATAAACTAGATAACTATAAGATGTTGTATAATAATAGCCAAATAAACAGGGCAGATGGAGTTGTTATTTATGTCAAAGATTGCTTGACGCAATCTGCTATAATTGAAACTATTGGGAGTATTAAATTTCTCACTGTAACTTTGAAAGTTAATAATAATACACCTTTCAAAATAAGTGGTGTCTATCGTTGCCATGATATTAATATCAAGGATTTCATACCAACTTTAAAGCTTTTCCTAAATGGACACTGTCAAACATCTAGCCATATAGTTGTTGGTGATTTTAATATAAACCTGATTAAATCTGACGTGCTAGTTGATGAATTCATAAATAACTTTCTGGATATGGGATATATTCAGTATTTCAATGGAGAAACCAGGCCTCATGATAGTGAGAGCTCATGTATTGATGATTTCTTTGTAAAATCATCACATAAAAATTTTAAATCTTATACACTTACTCACATTTTTACTGATCACTTTCCATTATTTTTGGTGATAAAACTGCATAAGGATTTCAAGAGCAATAATGATCAAATACCTATTGATTATAATTTAATGGGAAAAATCAGTCGTAAATTTAATTGGTCTGATGTGCTGCATATGCAAGATCCAGATTGTGCAACAAACGTGCTAATTCAGAACCTAGCTGATATTATAGATCAGTCCAGATGTAAGAGGAAACGGAGTAAACGGGTTTCTAAGCCAAGGAGAAGCTGGATTACACCAGGTTTGATCGAGTCGTGTCAGACTAAAGAAACATTATATAGACTATGGAATAAAAGTAGGCTAAATTCTTCTCTAAAAAAAGAGTATGTGAGATATTGTAAAGTTTTGAGTAAGCTTATTAAATTAGCTAAAGTTTTATTTGATAAAAATAATGTTATTATCAACTGTAATGATAGTAAAAAGCTTTGGAAGTTTATCAATAGTAAAATTGGTAAGGATAATTGTAAAGACAGTTCTATTGACTATGTTCTTACTGAAAATGGTATTATCCTTGAAAATTCAGGTATTGCTAATAGTTTTGTTAATTTTTTTACTAGTATTGGTATCAACCTTGCTAATAAAA